ACATTTTAATGGAAACGCGTTTGGCCAAAACTCGTATAAAGTAACTGGTAAAATCGATCGCGTACGATATAGTATCAACGATCTCTAGTCGACAGTGTTTGTCATTTCGATTCCTCGATGACCTTGTAATCTTGGTTATCGAAGATACGATTTCTTTGGAAAAAGAAAAACAAAACGTTGAACAGAGATAAAAACCGTCGCACAGATACGGTCGATGCGTTCCGTTCTATTCGATAGTTCGTTTCTTTTTCAGTTATACACGTAATCCCATAAGCACGGACGCTTCGCGGATTTTGCAGAGTGAAAAACGTTGTGCAATTCGCAGCAATTGGAAAACCGGAAAGCGTGCTATACAGTGAGAGAAAAGTTGGAAGAAATTGTAAATATTATTTGCTAGCAATTTATGTCGAATTTAAATATTGCAACTATTCGAATTAAAAAAAAAAGGTCACCATATTAGTATAAACTGTCAATGTGATTCTAATAATAATACGTAGCAATTAACAATCGTACATCTAGCGTTTAATTTTCGTATTTCTCAGTGGCTTTGAGGTTATGTTGATTCATCTCACGAAAGATGATCCCAAAGCTAGAAATTTAAAAAATTCTGTAACTTTAAAGACTTGTACGGAACCTGGAAAAATTTCAAAATATAGAATTTCCTTCTCGAAGAAAAAAAAAAAGATGGCGCTAAGAGTGATCTCCGAATAAAAAAGAAACATAATACCTATGACATAAAAAAACTGGCAATTTTTAAAATTAACATACAACTTTCAAATTCGATGAAATGTATTAAAATATATTAAATTTCTATAATACTTTATCTCGTACGATTTCTATTTTGTTTTTCCTATTTGTAATAATAATAATAAAGTCTAGGGAAATTAAAAATAATATGATTCCGTTTTAGTTATCTTTCGAGAAGTTTCGTGGGAAATCTTCAACGGAGGCTCGGTTTAGAGCTCGAAAAGGAGAATATGGGCGAAACGATCGGTTTTCCAGCGCGCGTTACGATGGCGCGGGGGCCGCGCGAAAGTACACGAAAGTAAATGCAACAAGACGCACAAGAAGCAAGAAGCACATGACTAGTCTTGATACGGGCAAACTCGTGACACGAGGACCGATAAACCACTAAGAATAATTTAATCGTCGGCTACTTCCCGCAAACGTGTTCAGTCCTTTGCCAGACATGTCCAGGAACCGGAATTACGAGACGTTTACGAGCGAGACCGCGACATTCGACGAGTAAGTACCCACAGAAAACCTTGGTGCGTCGATTATGTCAAGGTTCGTCACATTTTGTTCCAAGTGTCACGAAAATTTATGAATCCATCGCTGCACGCCATTGTTTACGATCACTTATTTTCGCGACGACCATTTATGGTGCACTGGTACTTCATTTTGTCTCGTATCTCATTTTTAATTAATCAAAATTATCGTCGACGTCTTGTTTTTCAATCTTCAAGATCGAATTTTATTTTTTTACCCATTTTCGACAAAGCAAATGTTTGTTTTTCCTCTTCTTCTTTAAATGGTTTTCGTTACATCGGCTGTCACATGCTTTTGGAGATCTATGTGTCTTGTGGGACATGTCTTTTGTGTATACACAATCGTATTTTCTGTGTTATTTCGATAGAAACCAAAATAATATGATTAGACAAATGTACGCATTTGAGTTCGTAATTATTTTAATTATATTATATCGGTTTTGAAAATTGATTCCTTTTGTTTACATTGCTTGAAGAACAGTCTATACTCTTTGTTTCTTTTATATTATTTTAGTTCACGAAAATGAAGAAAGAATTTTACACGTGTTTTTCTTGATATTTTTAAAGATAGTAGAATAAATAATACAATAGATTCTGCTTCTATCTTCAACAGAAATGTGTTACATAAATATTTAATAATGTACTAATCTATAAAATAAAGTGGAACATGACAATAGATATACAGACAATAAGTCTCAAGTATAATTTAGCGAAAAGTTATTTGAAAAGAAATATATAAGTCGTAAATATCAAATGTTGTGAGTTAATAAATGATATTATTCCATTGTAATCATTAAATAAGATGTCAATTCTGATTTCACTTCTTGATTATTTGATATTTATTAAGGTTTATGGCCAAGGTTAAAATTAAATAAACAAGATATTCAATCAAAGAAAGATAAAATTAAGCGGATAAGTAGTCTAACTGTGTTCCAAAATTTATTTATGGAATTTCCGATAGAAAAGAAAAATTGTCTTAAATCTCAGTGTGAAAGAAAAATTTTCTGATTAATATTGTAAAATCAAATTGTCATTTAAATTAATGTTTTTATACAAAATAAGAGCGTGACTCACATTTTAATAACACTCAGATAAAATTTGAATAATAGCCATTTAACTTTAACCTCGACTGTATTTGCTATTGCATTGTGTTTTGATTACTTTCACGTTAAATTGTAGTCTCTTTAAACGTGTTTATAAATATTTCTCTTATTGGTAGAGATGTATTTATTACTCAGTACAGTAACACTATTTCCTTTGTTGTGTAGACTCGACGCTCTGTTAACGAGAAGAGATAAGCAATAATGCTAAAAAAATATAAATTATACGAAATGTAATTTTAAAAATATATAAAAATATTCAAGTGAAAAAATTAATTTTGAATGCAAAATATGAAAATATTTAATAGGAGATATTAGACTTTCCAACAAATCAGCACAAGTATAGAATTCCTCCTGTTCTTAATTTTTTCATTGTCTCGTTTGCAGTTATTTGCAAAAGATCAAGCCAATGTTTTCGAACAGATAGCCGTCGAGAAAGTTAATCACGTTTCATTCAAAGCGGTCATAGCGTGAAAAATGCAGTTATCTCTGGCAAGGAATTAAACCGTACGAAAGCGTAACGATTCGTTTTGCCGCAGAAACGTCATCCATAGTGATTAAATTGTTTACGTTGGATGAACTATTCGGCAAGTTTATCTGCCTCCGTCGACCAGATTGTATTAGTCATGATTCGTCATCGCGCACAACCGAGTCAAACTGTGAACGATAAAGATTCGTACAAACCCCGTTTCCTTTCCGATAACTTGCCACTTCCGGAATCTCTTAAACGTTTTAATTACCAGTGGACGTTACAAACAAAAGCCAGAATAAGAATCGAACGCAGTGAAAGCAAACAATCAGCATCCAATTGACCGCCACAATGTCCCTAAACAGATTCGTAAGATCTAAAAGACAACTTTTGCTAACAATAAGAGAAAATCAACCTCACGTTTTAAAACAACTCAAACTTCCACCCAAAATCGTGTGAAATAATCTAAAGCAGTTGGTGTGATTTTTAAACCCAATGAGAAAGTAAATTTTGTGTTTGTCGAGTTATCCGTGTTACTCGTTTATTTTTCGATGATCATGCTCGCGATAAAATATCGATTCCGATATAGTCGATACGCGATCGGTAGATCTTTCGAAGAACAAAGGCTTGTATGATTGTGAAATTTCAGTTGCCAGAAAGCAAACTGCTTCTGAATTCAACAAAAGCTTTAAAAAGGGATTTTAATAACTTTTTCAAATCACTTTAATTTTAAATTAATAATATCAAAATAATGTCCTATCTTTTTAACAATGATGATCATTACCTCGATGCTTTAACCAAAAGAAGTTTAAAATAATATATATTTATATACATAAAAATTGACAATAATCATGAAAATTTTCAAATTTTCAAATTTGTAATTTCTATATAACATTTTTAAAATTTTCATAATTTAAAACAATGGATTATTTCAGTTTGATTGTTGCAAAGAACGCGGAAGAAACTTATCAAAATTATTATCGATAAACAATTCGAACATCGAAAAGTTGGGAATCGTATTCACTGTTTTAATTTCTCGTTATCCGTGAGTGATCTGTTGCGAGGCGTTACGAGAGACAGTATTTCTTTTTTTTTTATATGTATATCTTTTATCTGGTCTCGCGCATGCAGTCACATGGAGAACCCAGCCCCTCGTTAATATCGCGTTACACGAACAACAATCGTGACAAATTCAGTCACGAGTTGGTACTACCGCCTGGCGATACGGCAACTATTTTTCTCAGACAAACAAATGCTCAAATCCTCGTGATTGCTCTTATCGATTCGAATGTAGATTACGCGACGCTCAACCTATATTTTTCGATTAGAAAAAGAAAATCGGAGAATACGTCTGTTGCACATTATTTATTTAACGTGTCGATCGGAGAGATTGCCCTTATTGTACCACACAACATTGTACAAACACACCATAAGTATTATATTATATAAATTTTATTAACTATATTCAAAAATAACATTCTAGACTTTCTCGAAACAATATCTGCATTCACTTGCATTAAAAAAAAAACAATTCTTCATAAAAAAAGTAATTTTCAGTAATATCATATGATTCTGTTCAAAGAAATATTTAATACATTGACAACCATCAGGAGCTATCACAATATATTTCACGAAACTTCGTTCTTCTACAAGAATTGTTTAAAAATCACTTTTTATTTTATTCTGAAAGTTACCGCACAACGTTTGGATCTCAGAATTGTGCAAATAAAATGATTAGTCAAATTTTGTACATACTAAATCTGATTTAACTGAACAATTATAAATTAATTTATTTTGTTTACGTTTTATAAGCGATAATGTTTCACTATGTAAAATCCACATTTATAATTCCTTTCATATTACATCCTTTGTATTAAAGGGTTTATTCTCGTTAATAAATGAATAATAATAACAATAGTAAAAAGTATCATGAACTGTATTTGTGCAAAATTTCAAGTTTTCTTGAATTTTCAAAGTACATAATTTGGAAGGTTCACGCTGACTCAAACTGCGATTTCGCGGCAACTTTTCGCGGGATCATTGGGTTGGCGCATGCGCGGGCCAACAAAATTCGTGCGCCTCTCTCCACTGCGCAGCTCCCGGACAGCTTTCGCTCATATAAGCGTCGCCAGCTAGCGTCGTAAGTTATTCGCTCCGCGCGCGACGAGCAATTAAGATCTGTTGTAAATAGTGTTGTTTACGTTTCCAGGCTCGCGCCTACGTGTTGTCCTTTATCATGCTTTGACAATTCGTGTTCGTTTCGCGTCAACGGAGCCGTCTGTCGTGAGAGAACGACCGATAGGTAAAATAAGAAAAAAAAAGAAACGGTAAACAATCGGTGGAAAGTATTAGTTGTCCATGGAAGAAGACGTCCGTTGGATTTTACGAGACAGGACATACACGGATCGGTTCATCGAGAATTTCCTTAGAGAAAAGGTGACGTTTCCAGGAAATAGTGCGTAATTACGACGGTCGCCGTTTGGGGGAAGGAGGGCGACGGAAGCAAAAAAGAAAGGCGATGTATCTTAGTGTAGTGATTATAATATTGTGATCGACAGACTGTGATATAAATAAGCTGTACATATTTCTAATTTACGTCGCTTCGGGGGAAGCAACAATTGAGGTTCAACATGACGAACGCCGTAGCAGAGTAAGTAAATAGAAACGAAGGTACTCCGGCCTCTGTTTTCCCGTGTTTTTGTGTGCACGATGCCTTCGCTCATCGGTTGTACGTGACCTATGGCAGAACCGAACAAATCTCATTTGAAATTAAAATTACACTGCTCGACATACTTATATTTCACCTAATTTTTTTCCGTCTTCTATTATTCAAAATTATTCATCTGGAGGATTATTATTCTACTACGAAATCAATGGATTGTTTATATGTATACTATATTACTATGACTGTTTAGAAAAAGTGTATGTCCATTTATAGGAAACAATTTATTTAATAATAGAGTTCTAGTACAGAATAATTTTGGTAATTAATTGAATCCAGTGAAAAATTTTTGTTTTATTAAATTATGATCAATTTCTTCCTATGCATTTATAATTGCTATTTTTGACTCTTGAATGGTTCATATTATTCTTATGAATGCGAGAAACGAGTGTTCCTCAAATATTCTCGATGGGGTTGATGCTCCATTTTTATGTGCTTTGATTTCGATTATTATTTTTAACCATTTTCTTGTACATATGAAAGTAAATGTGATTCTCTTGAGAGTGGTGTATGTTTATATCTCAACGAAATTTGCAAAAGAAATAATTTATATATAATTTAATGTCAATTTTGCATTTATAAACAATACATAATATAAATCTTGAAACATTCGCTTGTTTAAAACTATTGAAATTTAGTTAGCAAATGGAATTGAATAATCATTTATTTTGAATGTGCAAATTCCTGTGAAAGTTATTACGTATTTATTAAATGAAATAACAGCCCTCAGAAGATCACGGAAAATAGAATTTTGTTGCTCGAAATATTTATGCCCGTAATAAGTAACTAAATAATACAACAAACATGATGCATATTGTGCAAATAAATTATTTATATTTATAAAAAAGTTGTAACATACTATTACATATAACACCACATTTTGAATTGAATCGCGTGTAAGGAAAAATAACCAGAATTTGTTTTTAAAATTAACACGTGGAAAATATAATAGTTCCAATTAAATGAACAATTGTTTAAACTTTTTAGAGGCCATTAGAATATGAAACAATTTTTAGAGTGACCTTTTTTTACTTAGTTCGTATTGTAAATAAATCTAGGAAAAAAATTCAACTTTTCTTTTTATGTAGTTACAACATTTCAAAGATCAACAATGTTTATACATTCCGTTTAAGAAGGTGAAGGTCGTCTTCTCGGAGAATATTGCATACATAAAAAATTGACATAGAGTTATCGCGTTGGAAGTAAATCTACAAGTTTTTCCTCCGCCAGTTTTCTCTAATGTTTATCGTTCGCGAGATAAACGCGTCGGTGACATCTTCTGATTAGTGGTATTAACTTGGTTGCTCGCGTCGATCGATTCTCGCGCTTGCCATTAATTTTAGAACGGCTTTGCGATGTTCTCGAATATAAATAACAAAGGCCAGTCGGCACAATATGGAAGAACTGTTAGACGGTCGATCGAGTTTAATTAGATTGTCGATTTTCACAAAGCGTCGACAATTGTCGCGTCAACGTATAATACAATAACGGAACAACGGTGATTTATAATGGAAACTTTTCGCTTCTCCTTGCCAGTCGTTGCTAATTACGTTACCAAGACTTACTATTACACATTCAGTTCTTTTTCAACGCTACAACTATATTACGAAAGCTATTAGTCGCTCGGTGAATCGAACATTCGGAATCTAGGGTAAAAGTCCCCGAATACCGTCGCTCGAACCATCAACCTGTAACTCATTGCATTGTTTTTATTATTTATTCATCGAAAAGCACGTGTTCTGTTCCTCTTGAAAGTCCCTTCCGCAAGAAAAATAATAATACCACTCTCGAGATCTCTATGTCTCTGTTTACATATTCTTAAGGAAGAACGATATGATATTTCTGACAACCCTAATCAACCATATAGGGTAACTAGTTACGATCAGGATTAGCCAGGTGCTCGTGTATCACACGGCTGTGTAACACATTACATAAGGTGCTAAAGTTCATCTCTCACTATCCGGATTTGCGAACGCAACCGTTGCTTGCATTTTCCGTTGTCAAACGTGCGTGATGTAATTGAACTATTAATATACTGCAACCAGGGACGATTCTGCTCTAGGGAATAGCGTATAACTGTGCATTTACACTTGAACCCTTTCGTGCAACGAGTGGACGAATTTAATTTGGCCGCATCGTGCCAAAATTCGTGCGTCTGTTGTTCGAGCAGGGCTGAACCAATCGGGTAAACAAAATAACGCGTGTTCGGAGCACCGACGTGAAGAGGCGCCACCTTGTTGTTCCTCTTTTACTGGGCCTAAATAATGTCACACATAACCAAAAATCATAACTGTTCATACAAAACATTATATGTTTTGTTTGAAATAATTATTAGCGATTAAAATTTTGTTTTTTATCGTCAATAACTATTACAAACGACGAGAATAGCTTTTGGTTACGAAAAATAATTACTAACGAATTTAACAAATAAAACTGAAAATCTAACAAATGCCTAGAATAAATAAAATAGAATTGTACTAATTGGAAATGTTTGACGCTCAAGTTAGGATATTTTTAACCAGTCTCGGCATAAACGTGTTCATATCTCAAACTGGAAATGTGATGGTATCGCAAATGAAACCGTAAATCGTGTTTTAGTAAACTATAAGTCTCTTTGGAGATCGTTTATTAGCCTTTTGACACGCATAATTTATTGCAGCTTTTGACGAGAATAGCGACGATACAGGTTAAGGTTATTCAACTGCGGAGCTTTGTTCAATATTTAGAAAGTATTCTTAGTTCCGTGTGACATCTGTTCTCGCTATCGTTTTATGTAGTTAGTTTTGTTGAGTTAACACATATGCTGGGTAATCAGTTTCAAACGTAACTTCGTTAAACTGCAATTCATTATGATTTTACAGTAAATACACCACGAATTCAAATAATAAATAAAGTAATAGTAGTATGAACAAATAATATTGTAAAAATATTGTTCTTTATAATTGAAATTAAAATATCTTCTAAACTAAGGGTTTTTCGACATAAACAAATTAACATTTTTTTATAGACAATAAGAATCTGCGCCCATTAGTGGATTAAAATTTATAAAATTTCGTCTCAAAGTCCATCTTTGCTGTATTTCTTGAAAAAACAGGTACACAATTGTAATAGCAAAGCTTTAAGAAAATATACAAATGTGTTCTGTAAGAGTAATTCATAAATCGATTCCAAGCATCACTGCTGAGGATTTAGGTCAAACTTAATTTAGTAACGTAAAGCCGGAGCCAAATTTCCGTGCTCTCTGGGACGCTCATAATATATGTGCATAACTTGATGGTGAATCTGTGTTAATGTCAACAAATTATTACACAATAAACACGATATACAAAATAGTTTCAAATTTTACGTCTCAAAATTTACTTCAAACAACGACTGTTGACGGATGAATGCCATTTTGAACATTTTCATGTTTCATGTTTTATACAAAAATGTAGAACTAATCAATTGCCTTTAAACTAGCAAGATCTTTTTCAATTCGAAGTTATTTAAAGGTCATTGAATGTGCACTTGAATTCTACACTATAGAAACAAAATGGCGGTCATCTCAGCAAAAATAAGATTTTAGAATGCCCAACACAAAAGAAATATTGTTTATATTTAAAGAACCGGTATTAATTTCAATTTCAATTCGTTGCAGGAAAAAAGGCGACGTTCAGAACTCGGAGAAGTCATCGTTGGTGGACTCGACGGCACTACCAAAAATTCAATCGCCTAATCAATCGAATGAAAAGTTTGACCTAGCATCGAACAGTGCACCCACCGACCCTGAGACTGGCCAAAATGTCAACGGAAGCGTCGTTAGACAAGTTCTCGCTGCGGTAGTGGCACAACTTGGAACTATCAACACAGGCATGACATTTGGTTTCTCCGCCATTGCTCTTCCACAGCTTCAAGAACCAAATAGTACAATTCCCATCGCCGAAGGATCTGTCGAGGAATCATGGATCGGTAATAACTAGTCCTACGCTCTAAGTTGAGAAATACTGTTCTGAATAAAGGGAACTCGCACGCACCCACTCTGCAGGCTGGGTTACTTACTATCGCAGATCTGTTTCCATGCGTCGATAAATCAGATCGCGATTACATCTTTGAGAATCTATAGAATTTTTTTAATCCCAGCAAATCAATAGTAAATTAATGAAATATAATTGTCTAGTTGTCCTCAGAATATTTGAAATAGAAGTTGAACACACAACCACTCTGCAGGTCGGGTTATATATCTATATATATGTAATAAATAGATCTATATCCCAAGTTGAGAAACACTGTTCCTGACAAAAGGAACTTGCACACATTCTTCAAGCTGGGTTACTATCTATTACAGATCTGTTTCAATTGTTTAAATACCAGGCAAACGAAGTAAACCAATAGCAAATTAATGAAATATAATTTTCTAATTGCTTCTCGGAATATTTGAAACTATCGTCCATTACCATGCGTCGATATTTATAATAACAGATTGTATTTTTTAACGCAGCCAGTATGTCCTCTATCGGAACGCCAATCGGATGTCTAGCGTCCGGATACATGATGGACGTCCTAGGCAGAAAGAGGTCCCTCATCATCACGGAGATACCAGCGTTGCTTGGATGGATCCTAATCGCATTTGCCACAGATATTCGCATGATATATGCCGGAAGATTTTTCGTGGGCCTCGGTTCAGGGATGGTTGGGGCACCAGCGCGCGTTTACACAGGAGAAGTGACCCAACCGCATCTCAGGGGAATGTTGACTGCATTCGCTAGTATCGGAGTCAGCACGGGCGTTCTGATCGAGTACGCGTTGGGAAGTGTACTCACGTGGAACGTTTGTGCGGCCATCAGCGGCATTCTACCGCTGGCTGCTCTGTTGTTAATGTTCTTCTTCCCCGAGACGCCGTCATACCTTCTGTCGCGCAGCAGACCGGAAAAGGCGCGCAAAGCGTTGCAACAGTTTCGCGGCAGCACTTACAACGTCAACCAAGAGATGGAAACCCTCATTGACTTCTCCAATAAGAACAATATAAAGCGTCTGACGGGATTCCGGGAGATAGTTAGCGCCCTTTTGAAACCGAACGCGCTGAAACCGTTCATGTTGTTGCTTTTGTATTTCTTAATATACCAATGGTCGGGCACGAACGTTATAACATTCTACGCCGTGGAGATCTTTAAAGATTCGGGGTCGACGTTAAACAAGTACTTAGCTGCTGTGATTCTAGGGGTGGTAAGGTTGGGATCTACTATCGTGGCGTGTATTTTGTGCAGAAGGTGCGGAAGAAGACCGCTCACTATGGTATCGTCCGTTGGTTGTGGACTTTCCATGGTGGGATTGGGCGGATACATGTGGCTAAAAAGTTACTGGACCGCAAACAATCTTCCGCTGGTCGCCACTTGGTTCCCAATTCTATGTATTTTCGCGTACACCATAACTTGCACTCTAGGTTTCCTCGTTATACCTTGGATAATGATAGGAGAAGTGTATCCGGTGCAAGTACGTGGTATTATCGGCGGTTTGACCACAATGACGGCCCATTTGTTCATTTTCACCGTTGTCAAAACGTATCCTTTCATGGCCAGCGCACTTACACGGCACGGTACTTTTATCACGTATGGTTGCATATCGTTGTTTGGCACGATATACTTTTACACGTGCCTTCCTGAAACCAAAGGTAAAACTCTTCAGGAAATAGAAGATTATTTCTCTGGAAGGAACAGTGACTTAAGAACTGGCAGTATAGGCATTAATAAACCAAAGGTGTTAGAAGTGAAGAAGGGTCAAATGTTGCCCTGAGTCACGACGTCAAGATTTTTTTTTTTTTTATATAAACTAGATTGCAGAATTTGTCTTCCATGCGAACAGAAACAAAATTTTTTCATTCGACGCCGTTTTTATTAATTAATCGGATTTATATATATTTTTATTGTAAGAAAGCAGCGAATGATACGACCAAGAGATTTAAATAATCGATTAAAGTAGACGACATTAAGACGTTATCAATACTCTTGACTTTTTCTCGTTTGCTAGATAAGTTTAATTTGCAAATATATTTATTGATTAAAAGACTATATAATTTAAATCGTGCGCGTTTCACGGTGAACAGAGGAGGTATATTTTTATAGAAACAATATATTGCAAGCCATTAAAAAAGTATCGAACATACTCGCGGATAAATTGTTCAGGAATTGCATAATAGACAATTGTGCCTTAATTGTTTGTTGATGTGCACACTAGGAAACGAGGGGTGCTATTTATTCATAGTATTACATTTGTACATATGTGATCGAAAGGCATAATTAACAAATAATTGTATAAATGATATGTTTAAAAATATCGTACGACATTATACGCGAATTATCGCGACATAAAATGTTTTATAAGTTTAAATTAAACTATTTTAATACATTCATTACGTTATTTTCTGTTGATATGGTTCCCCTATATTTAATACATTAACCTATATGGTTTTTTAAATTGGAACTGGTACACCGTGATCATTAGTTTCATTATTTCGTGCTCTATCACTGTAATGATTTCATTAAAAATCGTATGGAAATTATTGAAATGTTAATAGAATATTGTTGTGTAATTCAATTGGAGTTTGTATGAGCGCCATATTTTGAAAACTACTCCATACAAGGGAAAATCTAGCTATATTTTTTCAGATGTGAGGTTTTGCAAATGAATAGTTTGAATCATAGCGTATAATTTTGTCCAGCAGTATTATTAAATAAAGTAGAATACTTCTGCACAGGTTATGACTATAGTCAGGTAGAAATAGGTTATAGTTAATGGATCTGTATTTAGAAACCTTATTAAGGTCATATTGGGCTATATTTTATTACATGTGGGGTTGTGCAAATGAATAGTTTTAATCACAAACAATAATTTTCTTCAGGAGTATCACTAAATAAAGTAGAATACTTCTGTACAAGTTATGATTATAATCAAATAAAAATAGGTTATAGTTGATGGGTCTGTATTTGGAAACATAATCAAGGTTTCTACGACAACAAGTTTTATTCTTCGAATGCTTTTATCAAGCATGATTACAAAACCAAGCAACAAGAATCTCGTCCTTACATCGTGTAGCCTTAGAACGACGGATATCAATAATTCATAGGTACATATTTAACAAATGATATACATAGTTACTTGTATCTAACGGTGGTAATCGATATTCGATAATTTTTTCCATTACTATTACTCTCAGCTCGTTATTTTCCTCGTTTTAATAGCGCTAATGCTATACAGTACATTCGTTTGCTATAATTATCGTTATTAAGTAATCCTGTCGTCATCCTTATTCATCCTTAGCCTACGTTGCTAATATTTCTCAATTACAGAATCGTTTTTAAGCTACTTTTTTAATTACGTTTCGAACTGTGTCAAGTGGTCGGAGATCGGGACGCGGGTGTCAATTTAATTGAACTCGAATAGTTTGAATCGCGATTAAATGATACGAAAACGAATCCCCCACGACCCTGGAAACACCACGGACCTCCATTTTCTTTGTCTCTTCCCATAGGTCGCCTTCCAGAGTCGCGAATTTCTTTCATTAAACGCGATATTTCTTTCAGCGAGGAATAGATTTTTTGCGATTACTGATTGTTTGGTTGGTTTCGAATTTATTGTCATAAGTGCGATTCAAGCTTGTAGCATGTTCATTTGGCACAGTACGGTACAAAGCAAGAGAAACAATGTGTTTTAGGACTTTCCAAACCTTAAATCATTTTTAACTTCAAAGTTATTACACCGAAAATTTCAGATTCCTAGATTGGACCAACGACGCCATTTTGAAAATATCTCTTTTCGCGTATCTGTTGAAATCGTTCTCAAATTGTAAATGTACTCGAGTGGTCCAATGTAGGAAATTTTGTAATTTTTCTTTTTGCTCGAACGAGGTTGGTACTTTTAACGAGCTTATCTATTATTATTCAAATCAGGAACTCCCACAGTCTTTTGGAGAAATTTTCCCGCCTTTTCTCTTCTTCCAATATTTGCTTTCCAGCCGGGAAAATTAAATATTAAAAGCTAGACAACGATTTTCGGAAACGAGGAGCTCCTAATTCAAATTCGATTATTCGAAGAATTCCTTCGAGACTTTGCAAACACCCGCATAACGATCGTCTTCGACGTACAGGGCACTCGTTTCAATAGTCTGACGTTAGAATATTTTTTATTTTCACCCTCTGTATTTTCTCGAATTGTTAAAATACACTCGTTTGCTTTTGCTTTTCGCTATAATAATTTTCAGAATTAATTGTGTGTTTCTTCTTTTTTTAAATACAAAGGAAAATCAACCTCTTTTAAATAAAGAATTTACAAACAACAGAAAAATAAAAAAAAAGGTACCATAAAATAACAAATTTGTTCAACTCGAGAAAAAATATTCTAGCAAATATTGATTATGAAAATAAAGAAACATAAATATTTTTGTTTGTAATAAATAAGTACACGGTGAAAAGCAAAGTTTAGATGATCCAGGGTTGAAATGAAAATTATTGTAACGTAAGAACATTAAAACCAACGGCTGTAAATTTTCTCAAATATCGATCGACACAACTTCTCTCCGAAAGTTTCTTTCAATCTTGTATAAACTTCGAGGAACGATTCGGATTTACGTCGAATTTTTTCTTTAGCCAAACATGTTTTCTACCTCGAAAAAACAATTGCCGAAGCTCCGGTCGAGGGCTTCTTTATCTTCAATAAATACATAACTAAGTTTATTAAATTGATTTTCATGAAATAATTTTATCTTAGGGTTGCAATTTACCCTACTTTTGACCGGACTTATTAACAGTTAGGTATCTCGAAAACGTGGTGTCAAATTATAATCCCTGGCATGGTATAATTGAACACTTATCAGTGTTTTAAATTTGTAAAAAAAGAAAAATATATTTCAAGGAAATTTATTTAATTAATTTGTCCTAATCGTGCCCACGTTTTTGCGATACGTTCAAAACTGTTTTGCGACTGAAAATATTATAATTAAAATTTGTTTGGACCCCTCTCTCTTCCCTGATCGAAAGACATAATTAACGTCCATACACGTTCGAACAAATTGCTGTGGTCTCGTGTCCGAAATAAAAATAATTTGTGTTTTTCAAATGTCGAAAATTGTTTCCAAAAAGTTCGATACTCGAGATCACAACAATCGTGCACGGTGATATATTATAGAAAAACAATTGGAAAGAATCTTGACTTGTTCGTTGTCGCTGTTGAACAAAAGAACTCTTAGCTCCGTAGATTTTCTTTAATTTTCTAAACAATATCGCGTTGGGATTCCTTCGACGCGTGATCCCAGTATCTGGAAATAGTAAAAAAGTCCAATCGCTTTTATAGCCTCTTACATTATCTTTCTATGTACATTTTATTTACACCTTAATATTATTAACGCGTTCTATTCGTCTAGTTTGTAATTAAACACTTGTTTATCCATCCGAGAATCTTTAACCTTTCGTCTCAACTGTCGCCTTTCGTCGACGGCAACAACAATTAAACGTCTGCGACAGATTAACAATCGTTAAAATATCAATGCAACAATAGCTGATTATTCGTCGAATAATTTGTCAGGTTGTTGCACATGAAATGACCTCATTATTTAGTAACTAAACAAAAATTTCCTTTTAGAAGTAAGGACTTTGTTGGATTATTTTTAAATTGTACAATTTTCATTATTTTCAGTTGAGAAAAATACTGTGCATACTCGAAACATCAGTAAACATGTGTGCAAAATCCCAATGTAAAGCATTTCACGGTTTCTTTGTAAAAAAATAACAAAAATTCTTATGATATAACATAACCGTATGTTAGAAATATCTTTTTATACTTTGTTGGATTATTTTTAGATTGTACAATTTTCATTATTTTCAGTTGAAAAAAATACTGTGCATGATCGAAACATCAGTGAACATATGTGAAAAATCCCAATACAAAGCAATCCACAGTTTTCTTTTAAAAGAATAACAAAAACAGGCTAAAAATTGCAAATTTAAAAACGAAGATATTTTTTTCGGCAAAGAAAACATAAATTCTAATGCATTTAAGAACAATAAAAATGACATTTGATCGAAATGTAGTTCCCAAAAGTTGTATACTGCAAATTCTGAGATTTCAGATGCAACAACCTGTCGCTATCGTTAAAGAGAGACTTTAAAGTTTTACGGTCGCGGTATCAGGACGACGACTCTAACAGCAGCCTTCAACACGCTATTAATTATGGCGTTTAGTCACTCTATCATAGAAAATTGTGTGCGTTCTTCCCTATCAATGTAGTGCAAAGTGAATTTCTTATCCGTTCGTTCCTCTAAGGGATGATTCCGACTTCCCGGAAGTCTAAGGACAACGATGCGGCTCCCGTTTTCGCTTCAATGTGCTTCGGCGTTCACTGGACGATTTATCGATCAGGTAGCAAATACGTTTAGTCGATCTGCAAATACCACGTGCCCTGGAATCGATCTCCGATCGATGGATTCACCCGAATAATTTATAAAAACCGGGCGAATTTTAAGAATCTTTTTAGTCCGTTTCGAAATCGTTAAAATTCGAAATTCTTCGAATTCGCCGTGTTCCCGTAAACTCGTGAATCAATAGTTTCTCGCCGGTCGATTCGAGGTTCGAACTGGTCGAATCGACGCGACGTCGCGACGTCGAAAATGGAAATCGAAGGCAGCTCGCACGTGGCGTGCACACCTAACTTTTTATTATTTAGTTTCTGTTCGACGAAGAATCACGGAGCTTACCAATACGACGATACAAAAAGACGTCCATCGCGCTAACGACGCTTTCTAATGGCAGTATTTACGGAATACAATTTTGTCCTACTAATGTATAATATTTACAATCCATCGTGATGTAAGGCTTCGGTACCTTGGATCGTTAAGAACTACGATTTTCCAGCTATAATTAATACTGCGGACGTCGAAGAATTAGTGATTCGTCGAATCGTGTCTAGTCCGTGTTACAAAGAAACGATTCAAACGGTCGAAAGAAATTTGTTTAAAAATATCCAGAAGCTGGCGAAAATTAACTAGGTTTTTGGCTATTCGATATTTACTCGCAACGGTTTTTGCACGAATTTTTGCTGAAGAATCGCAGATTCTCCGACACACGGTCGCTCGATTTAATATCAGAACACCCTCTATATTCATTTATACTTGTTTCAAATGTTGTGTTTAAATCAATTTATAAATATTTGAAAAATTAACGGTAAACTTACGTAATAAAAATATAGGATCATAGAACTTAAAAATATTATTCATACCGAATTTGTTTAATTCAATATTATTTATTACCGTTACAATCTGATGGAAAAACAAGTTGCAAATTCGAGAATAAAATTTTCTTGTGTTTTCCAAGAAAATGGACTTCAAAAATACGTGTATCAAATTTTTAAATTCAAACAATGATTATTACTGTTACGACCAGATGGAACAACAAGTTGCAGATTAAGAATAAAGTTTTCATTCCCAAGAAAATTGAGTCAAAGATACGTGTATCAAATTTTCAAAATTTAATTGTCTCGAAATCATCGTACGAAAAATTTTATTCCACATTTTTAACTCATTTTATCATAAATAATAATAATAATTTATGTCGAACGGTGGATTGGAATATTAAATCTGACGACCGTAATTCTCGCACGAGACTCAACTAACGGACACCAACCGTGATAGTACATGTTTATACATGACACGCAATTAGGCGAACAAAACGAGCGAATCGGAAAAAAGAATCGTTGACAACTGACAAGTAACATCAACCACGTACTACGGCATTGAACAACGACGTCAACGGTTGTTCAATCAGCTACATCTATCAGCTTTAGAATTTGTATGCTTTACTTGTTCTTACAGTACTATTGGTTATTATTATTGTTATGTCTCGCGTGTCTCGATTGTTGTTACAAAATACAATATTTTCATACAGGCGAAGTACCGGGGGGGGAGCCGTCACGAACTTTCCCTCGAGATTAACCTCCATCTTTTTTTAAAAAATACTTCCAATCAGGGGAGGGGGGGGAGACGAAGCTGAAACAGCTGAGACTCGAGAAGTTTCTTTTTCAAACAAATTTTTCGACGAATTATTGTTACTTTTATATGAATTGTATAAGTAATGATTAATAATGATTGAATGAAAATTCGATGCTAAATATTTCTCATTTTTCGTACGCAATGAATTTGTTCGAGCGTCCATAAAAAACATGATCGCCATATTGAACGAAATATTCCAACTTTTCGATAGAGACTAAAAAAGTGTGTATTTAAATGAAACGAAACTCATCGACGAAGGAAGAATACGAAAAGTATTTGTGCTATAAAATTTAAATCCGCCACAAGTACTTGTATTCTTCGTGTCGTGGAAAAAACAACCCCTTTGAATTCCGCTGTTCCATCGTCGTTGTGAAAAATTACCGCGAGCAATGACCGTAGAATAAAATTAATGATAAATAACCGTAATCTCGAGCGAGAATTTCGACGGTGGGAACACACCCGAACAATTATCCATTTCTCCACCTTAACGATACATTCGTACAAACGGGTACGTTACTAAATATTTAAACCCTAATCGATTACATATTAAGTTACACACTAAATTCGTGTCGTACAACGAACTATCTACGGATCGTGATGCCTAGAATAATTTCTCTTAACGTGTCGAGTAAACGGGATATATAAAACACGCGATCGTACGACGGGTTCGTCCGCGAAAGTTCATTTTTTTTTTTCCTTTTTTTTCAACAAGGAAACACTCGGAATCCACGATTCCACGACGATTACGACGGTTCGACACCGCCATCTTGTTTACCTTCGATCCCTTCGAGCGTCCCAGAAACTCGAAAGTCGGCAAGGGTTTAACTAAAATTATCATTACCTTTAATTAGCTTGTTCTTTTAAGATAACCCGATTAAGTAGTGGCAGCTTCGTATTACGATTTATTTGAGCAGACTATACATATAGGTATAAGTTTCTTCAAAATTCTCGGTCGCTTCTTCTCTGCAGAATATTCGAGCCAGGAACGATCGACTATTTCATAGTATTTTTCTTTAGTCGACGGTTGCGGAACGGAGGAAGATCCCCAGGAATTCTGTTACCCGGATAACTGATACTTTACTTAGGTGGTCGAATGTCAGTCGGATTTCGACACGAAAGCGAACGAGAACGTGGTGTCAGTCGAGGGTTTCCTCGGATCTTCCTCGCAATTTTCCTTATTTTTTTTTTCTTTCTTATCGTGTCGTATACTTAACAATCGTTTTAGAAAATGGAGCCCTTTGACCGTAATTTCGCGTTATCGAACATCGATGGAAGTTGGAGGTTCCTGAGACTAGAGTGGGATTCCGGGTTGGTATCGAGTCACTTCCAGGCGTTGGTCCTTACTCTTTATCTACGGTGCAGGGCTCAGGCATAGACTATTGCGGCGGGCAATTCACCACCGTCGTGGTGGCAAAATCGCTGAATTTTTTGTCGATCGGGACCCGGTCGTCGTAAAGAGTCGGAGCTTGCAGGATAATACCAGCCGTGCCCACCAGGACCGCCAGGGTGAAGATCCACAGGAACAGTCTGTCCAGGACCATCGCCACGTACTTCCAGTCCTCTTTCACCTTTTCACAAATTATTCACTCTTCAATCCCAACCCTCACACCAGAAATAGAAATTCAAATTTTCATCCACCATTTTTAATTTTTATTTTCCTCAAAAATACTCAGGAGTGCTTGAGACATAATTATACATTTTTAAGATTGCAAATTGTGGGGTGAAAATAATACTTGGAGTTTTCAATATTTGCTTCAAACTAGATTCGAAAATCACCAAGTAGTTCTAGTTCTCATTCACCTATTCACAAATTATACACTCTTCAATCCCAACCGACAAGCGAAAAATCGAAATTCAAGTTTTCATGGGCCTCTTTCAATTTTTATTTTTCACAAAAATAGACAGAAGTTCTTGAAAAATATTATAAATTTTTGAAATTGCAAAATGTGGAGTGAAAATAATACTTTTCACAAATTATTCACTCTTCACTTCCATCCTTTACGTGGGAAATCGAAATTCAGGTTTCCATCAATCTTTTCCAATTTATATTTTTCTCAAAAATATTCAGAATTGCTTGAGACAAATTGTACATTCTTAAGATTGCAAACCAAGGGGTGGGAATACTATTTAGAGTTTTTAATTCTTACTTTAAACTTGATTCGATAATCACCACGTACTTCTAGTCCATTTTCACCTTTTCACAATTTATTCACTCTTCAATTCCAACCCTTACTCGAGAAATCGAAATTCAAATTTTTATCGATTATATTTCAATTTTTATTTATTTCAAATATACTCAGGACTGCTCGAAGAAAATCATAAATTGTTAAGATTGCAAGGATGGGAATAACACCTATAATTTCAGTTTTTTACTTTAAACTAAATGCGAACACACAATAAACTACCTTAAGAAATTTCTTTTCATTTTTCACCCGAATGACTATATCCTCAGTTAATAAATAATAAATAGAATCTACATAAAAAAAATCGTTTCTTCAAAAGCACAATATTGTCAAGAATAGTTTGAAAGAAAGGGGTTCGTTAATATTCTCCCCTCTTAAACTGTGAAAAAATGTTAGAAAGATAATAAAAATACCTTTGTTGAATCTTCGATCATTTTGGTATGTTCCGCGATGAAACGCACGCAGATACAGGACTTGTGAATTTCTGGCGGGCAACGGGAATGGGAAAAGGTGGGGGGACTTCGTAGAACTGGACTTTTAACTTCCTCGATCCCTGCTTCACCGGAAAGGGAAAGATTCTCGCACTCGGTATGAAGTGGAAGCGGTGGTAACGTTGGTCCATGAATTAAGCAACTTCCACCGAATCGTGCACCATCCGTGAGACTGAATTGCAAACGAAATAATATAATTGTAAGTAAAAAGTTTTTGTTTATTCGTACTACGTTCCTTTTGGGAGTCCAAGGAAACGTGGAATAAAAATACCAGCCACTCCAAATGTATCATTTTTCTTTTCCAGTAATAATAATTTTCTAAAATTATCTATTATACATATAGGGTGTTCGGTCACCCCTGGAAGAAACTTTAACGAGAGATTCTAGATGCCAAAATAAATCGAAAATCAAGAATACCAATTTGTTGATTGAGGCTTCCTTAAAAAGTTATTAACAAAATTATTGTCAAAAATTATTGATAAAATTTGTCCACTTATTCGAATTGTTTTCTCGAAAACGCGTAAGATTTCGGGGGTATGTCTGTTGACCAAAAATTATTGCAATTCACCCCTATAACCGAAAATAATTTTTCCAGAACGATTTGGAATTTTTTTTTTCACCGAAAAATTTAGGCACCTACCCCCTGTCGATTTTTCTTAAAAATTCGTTTTTCATTTTATGAGCTCTAGTTCAAGGAAAACTTTCATTGAAAGATATTCACTATTATAGGAGTTATGGCCGTTTGAAAATTGAAGCACTTTTATGGGGGTTTTTTTCACTTTCCGGTGTAAAGGAACAACTTTTCGAACATCTTTGGAATTTCTACGAATTCTTCATCAAAATACGCGTAATTTGCATTTTGAAAAATTAAAATCGTCCAATCCGTTCAGGAGTTATAACGTTTTAAAATTTGCATGAAATTTCGGGGTAACATGTCTGGCCAGAAATTATATTTTTGGCTAGCAATTTTTTTCTCGAAAGTGGGTAGGATTTCTGGCGTATATCTATTCACCAAAAGTGATTGTAATTAACCCCTGCAACTGAAAATAATTTTTCTAGAATTATTTGATATTTTTCAATTTCGTCGAAAAATTTTCCGTTTGGTATGAAATTTTAAACGTCAATAACTCTTTAACGAAGCCTCAATCAACAAATTGGTATTCTTGATTTTCGTTTTATTTTAGCCTCTAGAATCTCCCATTAAAATTTTTCCCTAGAGTGGTCGAACACCCTGTATATTTTATTGGGGGAAAAACGAAACATTTGGAGTGGCTAGAATTTTTATTAGAATTTTTTAAAATTATAATTATAAATTATGGTGTGTACCTGGAAGGTGAGAGGTCTTCTTTCGAAGGAACACGACTATGAAATCGTTTAGGTGTTAGGTGCTCCTCACTGTCCTCTTGAGTGGATGAACGATAAGGATAATAGCAAGCCTTTTCTTTTCCTCCGACAGTTCTCATTAAAACTCTGCTTGAAGTATATCTGTGAACAAAATGAAAGTTATAAGACGAGCGTTAAGAAGAGGCTCATTTAACAATAAATGCTATTATCTAAAACGTGCAAGCATATTTAATATAGAAGAGAAGTAACAATATTTAAAGATTATTTTTCAATCAGGTTGATTAGAACGAAATTTGTATGTAAATATTTGATAAAATAAATCCTCACCTATTTGTATCAAATTTATATTGAGGCCTTCGCATAGCCAGCAAGCGAGGAAGAATGTGAATGAAAACTCTTTTCACCCAGGGAGCCATTTTGTGCGTTTGCGGTGACCGGAAGTGGACATTGAGGACAACAACGGTGACACTTATACTGTAAAATAATAAAAGAAACGGGGACGATTTAGTACTAATTTTTAGTCAAATTAAACAATTTACAATGTATATGATATTTATGCAACATACATCATTATTAATATATTTAAACAATAATCGATTACGGACTACGATTTAAATTGGACCGGCATCCTTTGACTAGACTTGGAACCATTTATCGGCCTCGGAACTCGCTTTCCCACCCACGCCTTCTTATTCCTCTTTTATGTTTATCCTTTGTCCGCCTCTCGAAATTCGTATTACTCGGTTAAGGAGGGATTCAACTCGTATTATCGTGTTCCGTAAATAACAAATTTTATTATCGCCAAATTTAAATATAGTTTCTCTCTGCCATTTACCATAAATTAATGGCGTTCTTCCGTTTAAACTAAATTCTATTTCCCAAACATGTATTAATATTTCACGGAACACGCCATCCTTATTCAAAGTTCGAGAATATTGTTTCGCGTCATTTATTTTGTCCCCTGGTTAAAAAGACCACTTGAGAATTTTCTCGAGGCCATATTTTTCCTAAATTTCAAAATCTAAAAGATGAATTCAACCATTTGTACTATGTTGACCTTTGGATAACCTTGAAAAACAGAAGTCAACCTCTGTATTTCAGCCTTTTTTTTTGTGTATAATTTTGTAAAATTTATTCGATATTTTAAGCGAAACAATTATTGCAAACAAGGTTCGTCGTCGAGTATATGAATTTGAAAAAAACTCGATTCGTAAAATGAAAAATTGTTTAAGTGTACCGGATAAATTTTAATTGGTCGTGGTTATAATTAAAAAAAAAAATTCATGCGTTTCTGAATTCTAGACGCAAATAATGGCGAATGAGGATAATAATCTATCGAGTAGAAAATAATAACGAGGAAATAATCGTTTCGCAGCAATGTTTAATCGCTTGTTATTAAAATTGCCTGGTCTTCTCGCGTCTTCCCCATTATTTTTCTTTGTGCATTGGCGTCGTTAAGAATTTTCCTCCGTTCCTCTCTGTCCTTAGATTTTTTGCAAAGCTCCGCGAAGCGTTCTTTTCCCGTGACTGATGGGCGCAACGATGATGAAGTGACTTGCGTAGGACGTGACGCAGGCAATTCCCGGAGAAAAGGCGAACAAAAAGTGTCTTGAATAAAAAGCGTTGAGCTTTTGAAGCCCCCGGTTCGTTAGGAATCATCCGACGATTACTTTTTTCGCGGGGCGCGTTCAGTGCTAAAACGTATGCGTAATCAGAGTGGTTCGATCGTACATTTTATCTGGACGATCGATACCCCGTGGTATGTAAAACAGAATTTTGTGATCCATTCTTTGAGGATTTGCTGGAATTTTCTCGTGAATTTTTTAATAATCGTTATATACATATTATTATTATAGGTAAATATTTCATGTTTATTTTAAAGTCGTTAAAAAAATTTTTCTTTATCAGGACGTTTGTAGATATTTATCAATATTAATTTCACCAGCTTTCTAAAATATATTTAAAAAACTACCGAAAAATTGTCAAGGACCTCTCGAATAATTTTTCCCTTTAAAAAATGTCTATCCTGTTATTCTTCAGACTTCAGGTGGTTGATAGTCCATAGAAAAATGGCGTTTATGTTACCGAAAACGTTGGGCAGGATTCTGAGAAATTCTGTTATAATTAAATGCACTTTCAACAGGTTTTGCGTTTTTTCCAATTTAATATTTATAGTGGTGGCGATGTAAGGAATCTGAGAATCCGTTTGCTTCCGTCGATGCATTTAATCTCTGACTATACGTTCTACTTTTTGCCACGCTTTATCTCGCATCCTTTGCCGAAAGCCGTTCCACTTGGATTCAAAGGCCGTCCATTTTTCACGCGAGCACACAGTTGCAACCGCATGAATTCTAATCGCGTTCGAAAAACCAGCTCACGTTTCTGGAGCGCATTCTCGAGAAGTAAACGAAAGGAAAACTTATGGCGCTGACCGAGCGATAACGCCGAGCCTTCAACCTAAAAATCCGTAAGATACTGTTCGACAAACTTTTAACGACGTCAAGTTTGTTTTTTCTTCTATTTATGACGGGGAGCACCGAGTGAAGAACGATTTCAGTTTTTTCCCCCCGGAATTTTTCATCGAACGTTCCATAAAATATTTTATTATTCCCTTCCACGGATTAGGTTGTTATTTTTATTAGATTTTTATTATTATATAAGGTTATTTTTAGTTTAATAAATGTAGGGGAAATTTTAAAAAATTGTATAGTTCGATTTTTTAAAGGGAAGATCCGACATATTTCCTCGGCAGACGTAATTATTATAGAGAAAATGTTAATTTGGTTCCGTGGACGGAGTACGAATATAAAATGCAAATTTCCAGCATTTCAAAGTGCCCTGTCGTTCGTTTCAGTTAAAAGAAGCGTGTAATTCAATTTTCTTACACCATTGGCGATACTCTACTGGGCGAGTGGGAGGTATTATATGACCTAGGCGTCACCTTTACCCCGACTTCCGCTATCACACTTCCAACGTGTAAAGGATACGTCATTAAAGCCCTAAACAAGGGTTTATTATCCGACATTTTGCCTATTTGAATGCTTCCTCGCTTTCAACACCATAAATTTCCATTGTACCTTCGAAGCCCAGGGTGAAACAAGACTTGGACGAAAATTTCAAACAGTAATTCAAAAATAGGAAGATAAATAAGGAAGCGTAAAAAAAGAGAATTTCAATTTGCTTCCATTTTAAATGCATACAAAAATCAATTAAACATTATTATAAACGTCGTTGGTATATCGGGTGATCCTAAAACGATAAAAAAAATTTGTAAAATAAGTTTATTCTGCATCGAAATCTACATCTTCAAATTTCTGTTGAATTCATTGAAAAAGTAGAAACATAGTTTTTAATGTTACATGAATATTTTATAAATTTCTGTAAAGTATAGTTTAATGGGTTAGTCAATATTTTATTTTTTTATTTATAAATGGCGAGGCTCTAGTCTGGCGAATTCTTCGATCGATGTGCTGAATTTTTGAAATTTGAGAAGACAGATATAACAAACATGGACGTTAGGTGTATAATTTGCAAGTTATCATTGTTTCTGATTCTCATACTCGATGTTCCAGAGACGAACGAGCCGGACACAGATATCGTCGCTCGGACCAATGTCTATGATAATTAGCTACAGCATTACTGTAATCAGTAATATGTAGTTAGGTCGCTAACTGCGCACATCATGTTGTAGGTTATGCTAATGTTCAGAGACACTGAAATTTAGCTGGTTCAGTTGACATGTGCGTATTTTTCCAAGCGTGAAATAATAAAACCATCCTTTTAATTTTCAAATTTATGGTTCATGAAGAGAAATGAAAAATGTTGGCAAAATTATTATACAGTCTACCAAAATCATACAAAAATAAAGAAGCAAGTTGTTCGTTTATTTAATCTATTTTATTATTTATATCAAGTTCTGAAAATTCTCGAGACTTCACCAGGTTAATAAAAATTAATAAAGAAATTTTTTCATCTGAAAATCATATAAAAGTAAAGAAGCAAGTCGTTGGTTTATTCAGTTTGTTATATTATTTATATCATGTTCTCAAAATTTTCGAGACTTTACCAGGTTAATCAAAATTAATAAAATATTTTTTTGGACAAAAATTAACAGAAAGAAAATATAAATGTTAGAATATCTTACTAAATATTGAAAGGCTATAAATATGCATTTTGTGACAATACGGAAATTTGTAAAAGAAACAGATCTTCTCGAATATTCTAAAACACCAGAATGGCGACGAAAGTTTTCCGTTCACACCGGAAACACCAGTTCTAACTCGCACCTCGCGATCATGCACGATTACACGACCTTCCTTCAACCGTTGCATAGGGGGAAACTCCATGAATTCTAAATTACTGGCGAACGTTTCCAGGAATTCCGGTCGCACAGTTAACGATGATGACTTTTGTGATCGTTGGAAAGACACAAAGCATACACGGTGGTCTCTTGAAGAGCAATCTAGAAGTCAATCCTTAACGAATGCCAGCCCTTTATAAATATTTAGCGACCCCTGTTGATCTGGCTTTAATCTGAACTTTCCACACCTCCCCCTCCCCCTTTAATCCCACGGTCGACCAGATTTCAAATTTTGGGGTTCAAACGACTCAAAAAATAATCCAATACGCATGAAACATACAATTTCCTAGGTTTTCAGAGCTCAAATACCGATAATAATGAAAAATTACTGATTTATTTATTTATTTTTTTACGATCGTTTTATATTTTTACAATCTTATATTGGATCTATTTTTGAACATTTCTTATATTTATTTCTATTAAATAAAAAGGTCGTACTAAAATAAACAAATTTAATTTTGTTTCTCTTTAAAATTTATTAAAGCATTCGAGAATAATTCATCGATAAAATTGCACAGTGAGGCCGATTATAGAATTATTATTAAATAACATATTGTTTGAAATTTGATTAAAAGTGTTGTCGTTGGGAGTTACTGTTTTCGCGATATTGTAAAATTTAATGGAGAAATGTGAAAGTAATTCTATTCTTAATTAACGGTCCTATTGTACGGGCCGAAAAAACAATGCCACAAAGAATCGCATTTACGATCGAGGTTGTACGAAACGCTCCCGTTAATGCTTTTCGATATTAATGCGGTCTGCGTAGATCTCTGTAAAAATAATGCAACACTATATACTCGTGTATAGAGGGATAATTAAACAAAGAGACAATGGGCCGCCCTTTCAACTCCTATTCTTATTATGCTTCGCTTCGATCGCGACTGAGACTTTAAACGCAATACCGGAAGAAACAGTTCCGTTTCTCGCCAGAAAAATATTGCACGAGATTCCTCTTACTCCCCAGGTTTAATATTTATTTATTTCACCACTTTATTCGTATAATAAATAAAACAAATTAGCACCTGTATAATATATTATTGCTTGAAACTATTTATAAAAATTGTAAAACACGTTTGCTTCATGAGAGATATTTCGGTTGGAACAGCGTCGAAGA